AAAAAAACAAAACGGGAACAAATACAATATTTGTATTTGCATGTGGCCCGCGGGCCGTAGTTTGAGGACCCCTGCTCTGGAGTGTAAGGCACGAGAACTGGCGTGGAGAAAAGATGTGCTCCAAGCCCCAGTTCTTGGTGTGCAAAGGGATTCCTGGCTTAGATCTTTTGAAACAGGTGCTAAAAATATCCTTCCCAGCTCTCCTAATTTCGGTCAAGAGACAGAAAAGAGAAGGCAGAAGGATTGCAAAGGATAAAAATAACTACATCTAAATACCATGAGAAAAATGGCCCATGAGAAATGTGTAATTTTGCTCTGGGAAGTCAAGAATCACCCAAGGAATAATTCTGACATTTTATGGAAAAAGAAAAGCCTAAAACACTCATCTTCTTGAAAAAAAAACAGAGCACTGGTGCTTATGGGAGCCTACAAAGTAAAGTCAACAATGACAAGGAAAGGAGCTTTTGGCCTTAGCATTTTAAAGCGGAGGCCCAAAAGGTGACAGGCGAGGAAGCAGGCAGAAATCCATACAGCTTGTTCACAGCCTTCTGCATGCAAACAGAATGTAATTAGCACATGAAATATCACTTCACTTCACCCACCATTTCCTACAGCCAGGTTTTCCCCAGATTCCTGTGCATGGAAACGGCATGGGCCAGATGACTGATTCATCAAGAAAGCCTGTGAAGTTCTTTTTTACTGAAATGGCCACATCTGGGCATCAGGAAAGGCTTCCCCAAGAGTATACCTCAGATTTTTAAGTTTAACACCTCTTCTTTTTTTGGGGGCCAGGTAGGTGACCCCAAGCTTTAAGTCTTTAGCTAAAGTGCATATAAAGTATGCAGGTTGTGGGCTGGCATGGTACACAGAGGTCCTGGAACTGTACTGCCACTCCTAAAGGCAGGAGCCCTGTTTCTTGTGCACTGCTGAACCCTATCACCCAACAGCACACCTGGCCGCAAGATGACATCAATAAAACAAGACTGGCTTGTGGTGACATGGGCTTGACTCCAAAGCACTGAACTTGTGTGTATGGCCCAATACTCAGGGTCAGCTACCCATTCAGTCAAGCTGGTTAGGTTCAGTGGATAGAGCATCAGCCTGCGGATTGAAGAGTCCTGGGTTCGATTCTGGTCAAAGGCACAAGCCCAGGTTGCAGGCTTCATCCCTAATTGGGGTAGTGCAGGAGGCAGCCGATCAGTGATTCTCATCATTGATGTTTCTCTCTCTCTTTCCTCTCTGAAATCAATAAAAAATATTTTTAAAAAATGCTATCCATTCAAAGAAATATTTACTGGGCAATGGCCCAAACACTGTTCTAAATGTTGAGAATACCGCCGTGCATTAGATTAAGGTTCTGCCGTGAGAGGGCAGGGCTTGCACGCAGTGGGAAATACAATCAGCAAACACAGATACTTTACATCCTAAGTAATACAAGCATAATATGCTAAGTGTCCAACTGACTGGTCCACTGCTCAACCAGTCGCCATGACATGCACTGACCACCAGGGGGCAGACACTCCCATCGGTAGGTTAGCTTGCTGCTGGGGTCTGGCAGATCCGGACTGGGCGAGATGGCCCCCATCGGCCCCCATTGCTGGCCAGGCCGAGGGACCCCACCCCTGCAGGAATTCCTGCACGGGCCTCTAGTAGTTCTATAAAGGGAAGAAATGGGGCCACGTGATAGTAAGGGAGCGGTAGGGCGGATACTTCTCAGAAGATCCTGTGGTGATGGATCCCTTTTCCTCTGGCCCAGACAAGCTGGATCGGTGCAGAGTAAAATGCGGCCAGGGCCCTAGCTGGTTTGGCTCAATGGGTAGAGCGTCGGCCTGCGGACTGAGGGGTCCCGGGTTCGATTCTGGCCAAGGGCACATGCCTGGGTTGCGGGCTCTATCCCCAGTGGGGGGGGGGGGCGTGCAGGAGGCAGCCAATCAATGATTCTCTCTCATCATTGATGTTTCTCTCTCCCCCTCCTTTCCTCTCTAAAATCAATAAAATATATTTAATAAATAAATAAATAAAATGCGGCCTGGAACTCGGGTCCTCTGATCCTGCCTTCCAGGGAGTCAGCACAGCCAACCAGATTTCCGATCAGCTCAGCTAGAGCCTCGCCCTGGAAGACCCGAAAGACTTCCAAGAAAAAAGGCGACTGTCAAACCAAGAAGCCTCTTTAACGCCTTGGATTAGAGTGGTTTGGGGTTCCAGACCCACGAGGGGCAAGACCTACACACACCCTCGAGGGTGGAGAGAACCCCGCCTCCCACACTCCAGCGGGGCTGCCGCCACCTCGGCCGTCCCGGTTGCACTTGCAGAAATTAACAGCGTCTGAGGCTGCGGTTCCAACGGGGCCTGGAGAGGAGACGCCTCCGAACCGCCTTCACCTGGGCTGAGGCAGAGGCGGGGCACAGCGAGGCCCAACAAGCCCACG